TTTGCACCCACTAAGAGTAAGGTCATGCTCCTGGACGTGCAGTCACTGAACGCGCCAATTACAACCCAGGGAGAGGTACTGGAAGTTGTGGAGCGATTTACGTATCTTGGAAATTGTATAAGTTCTGATTGTAGTGTGACCGACGAGATGAGTGCACGAATCTACAAGGATCGGGTTGCGTTCGTCTATCTGAGACACCCATGGCGTCAAAGTGGTTTATCCCTGAATCTCAAGGGATGTGTGAAATAAAATGCGATCAGCTGTAGCACCTTCCCGGTGCCTGGCTGTCATGCTGCCCGAAGGAAGCACGAGGGCTGGGATACTGTCAGGTTGCTCAAGCCTAGACAGGGGAATCGAGAGGCAGCTCTTACCACTTGAGCCATCTCGCCCCCAAGCTACAATATGGGCTGTTTTGCTGTATGGCTGTGAGACTTGGCCTGTTCGAGCAGCGGAACTAAGACGTCTTCAGGTGTTCGACAACCGTTGTCCCAGAACAACACCTTGTGTGGGTTGGTGTCGGCAAGCGCGTAACGAGACAAATAGGAAGCGAGTGTTCGGTTGTTCAACGGGTACTTCCATTGGAGAATGTGTCCAGCACCAAACGCTGCGTTGGTTGGGACATGTGTTGCGTATGCCCAGATGTCGTTTGTCGAAGAGAGTGCTTTTTCCACACCCAACTCAGAGTGACGTAAGAAGAGAGGTGGCCAACCCTTAACTTGGCAGAGGAGCATGAAGGAGATCCGAAACGCTTGGGTGCCATCAGTCCTACTCGCCTTCTAGGAGGGGGCGTGATCCCCACTGCGCCTGGTTGGAGACACTACAAGATATGGCTGCCAAATGATGTCAGTGGCGTTCTTGTTGTCAGTTTCTATCCAGATTGCCTGAGTGGATGTCTGGAGGTGTAGGTACCTCGGAATGGTTGTAGTAACCTGCTTACGTTGAACGGAGTTGCTTTGCTTTTGCATGCGTAATACTGACGGAAAGCGAAGCGGTAACTGAATCCGCAAAATGGTATGGTCATAATCTAGTCGTTTACCACAGAAGTAACCGCAATCCTTGTTTGAAATTTTTCACTGGTAACTGACAACGGTATGGTCCAAACGAGTCCATGGGCGGTGGCCTCCAATTAACTCGATTTGAGCGTCTTTACTAGAATTTCACACTGGCCAGAAACAGATGATACTCAGCAAACAACTGAAGAAGTCGCTCCCAGTAATCCCTTTGCTAAGCATCAACTCCAAACCTACAACCTGTGCTTCTTACGGGCTTACTCGTCCAGACAACTACACAGCACAAAGACAACCAATTACTCCAATTCATTCCATTATAGCGCTTT